CCCCAAAACCCCAAAACCCCAAAACCCCTCTATACAGTAATCTAATGTTTGTAATGAAATTTGTTAAAATTAATATCTCAGTATGATTAAATTAAATAACTCAATTAATTCTTTCTAATTTCATGTATACTTATGGTCTCTTGAACATGAGTGCGTTGTTAAAAGGTTTCTAAGACTTTTACTTATCATCACAAAACAAGAATTTATAATTATTCATCAGCAATGGAACTATGGTCTTAAAAGCATTTTCTGCGAAAGTCTTGCCTAGACAAACTCTCTTTCCTCCTAGGAATGGAACAAAAGAAAACTAATTCCTCTATGTACCAGCAGGTGTAACATAATACTTAGACTAAGGATCAAATCTCTCGGGAATAAACTTGTCATCATCAATCCATTGATCTTTGTTGTGATGTATTTGGTGAAGATTTACAATTAGCATATCATCATGTTTTATAATCACTCCTGAAATTTCTTAATCTTCTGTCAATTTAACTGATGATGAGATTATCACTGGTGGTTCAATTCTCAAAGTCTCATAAAAGCAGAATTTCAAGTATTCAAACTCCTCTATTTTGTTTAGATCTAGTTCCTTTGTCAATTTTTGAATATCCATTCCGTAGTTGTATAATAGTTTTCCAAATTCCCATCGAATTTTTTTCTCATATTCTTAAGATTAAGCAATATAGCATAAAAAGTTAGAAATTGTGACTGCTGTTGTTTAAGACCCTGCTATGAAGAAGGTAATACATTCATCAATTATCATCTGATCTGAATCTTGAAACACCTCATCCTAGAGTAATACACTAAGCAGATCATCTCCCTCGTAATGACCTGTTTAAGCAAAGCTAATTCTTTTAATCTATATAAGCTTTCTGATGTATTCAATTACCTATTCAGCATTATACTAAACTTCTTGATCAAAGTTTGACAGAGAGTAAGGAAAAAGCTCTGGGAATAATATTAGATATGCTTAGAACTCACGTTCTACAGCTCGCCCTAGATTTGTAGATAAAGCTTAGCCTAACTTCATCTATCTTATTTCTCCTTTATCTTTGTAATTGATAAGTGGATTTTCATTCTATCTGCCAAATACGCATGCCAGAATAATAGTCATCATCAAATCTGATGTTTCCAGTACTATATCGATTGTACCCTACTTAGCCCATAAATCTATAGTTTCGCAAACGATCTATTTCATGAGATCCATCATGATTATCAGTTTTTGTTTATAAAGTGATGAAGAAATTGATTTACGTTTTTTTGCCCAGATCTAGTCTGAATGTGAAAATAATATGCTATCACCTGCTATTTTCTTTAGAATATTTCCTGACGAAGGATGCTTATCGAAATATTTATTCTTAGACACCAAGA